TTCCTTAGAAAGACCGCCTTCTAGAGTCACTCGTTGAAATCTTCCTGACAAATATGATATGAACCAATCAAGCGCTTTTCCAGATATACCAAATGAAGTTTCTATTCGTTTCAGTAGTACATTGTGATCTACTGTATCGAATGCAGCGCTTAAATCCAAGAGGATTAACAATGTTACATGCTGTCGATTCATGCTTAATAAAATATCATTCTGGATTTTAAGAAGTGCTGTCTCGGTGCTGTACCGCTTTCTATACACTGACTGCAATTTAGGGAGCAAATCATTTGCAGCAAGATGATCAAAGGTTTGATTGTAGACAGCTCGCTCAGTCAGTTTSGAGATGAACTTCAGATTACTGACAGGACGTAGATTAGGAAAAGCAGCAGCAAGTCCATTTTTCTTTATTAGTGGCTTAASAAGTGCTTCTTTCCAGTCTTGTGGGAAATGACCATTGTTTATGTTGTGTATCAAGCCAGAAAACAGAGCGGATTAATAGAGCCTTGCATTTATTCCTGAGTTTACATCCAAATGACTCTTGCACAATTTCACACAACATTTATACTAGAATAATTAATTACACGGAAGTATGTATTCCCTAGTGGATACATAGCAATTCCCCTCTCTTGAAAAGGAATGGCGGTATACAAATACTAACAAATTATAAGGTTAAATTCAAGACCAAYGTCAAATTCTAAGTATTATCAGTTCCAAATATATTAAGTGTYATCAGTTCAATAATCAAACCCAAATCTAGTTGGAGGCTTGCGCTCTCTAACAGGGTTTCTTCTTGGCTGTAAAGGTTGTTCGGTTGCTGTTGCATCATCTACCTTTCTAGGACTTCCATTGCGGGGACTGACTGTAGGTTGTTCGAGTTGAACCTGTTGCTGCTTTTGTTCCTTCTGAGGACTCCCAGTGAGTGTCTGTGGCAGCGTAGTTATTGGTTCCTTCTGAGGACTTCCAATTGGTTCCTGTGGAAGCGGTGGTACCTCGAGAGCTGGTACTGGTAAGTAGTCAGGAACAGTAATTGGCTGCAAAATGGTACTATCTTCATCAGACTTACATTGAAGAGACTTTGGTCGAAGTTGATGCTCGTGCCTTTTCCAAACTGGATATCCTTCGACATGCACGAAATATGACCGTTGCAAAACCTCAATCACAATTCCGGGTAGCCAACGAGGACCTGCACGGAGGTTCAGTACGTAGACTTTGTCACCTACAGAGAATCTGGGTAAGCAATTAGTATTCTGTTCAAATRTATCAGCCTCCTTGTGGCTTGAAAGGGAAGGTACAAGGCTTGAAAATTTCGTTCTCAATTGTCTGTGCATAAGCAGATATGCAGGACATTCAGCAGTAGYAGGATGAGGCGTACATCTATACGTAAAGAGGATACGATTCAACTTCTCTTGTAAAGAACCTTGTGCTTTCTCCATCTTACACAAAGCAGATTTGAAKTATCTGACATAACGTTCTGCCATGCCATTGGACGCGGGATGTCCGGGAGGTGTAAGCGTATGTCGGATGCCATGCTTCTTCAAGAAGTCTCCAAATTCGCTACTGGCGAACTGAGGGCCATTATCTGAAACGATATGCTCGGGGAGACCAAAGTTAGTAAATAATTTCTCTAAGTGACGTATGGTAGCTTTAGAATTAKTAGACTTTACTGGCAACACCTCTAACCATTTAGAGTAGCTGTCTATTAMAACAAGGAACATACTACCCATATAAGGACCGGCGTAGTCCAGAGAAGGGTGATCAAGGCCCGCAAAGCAATATGGGACTAAACACGATTACAACTTCATTTGAGTTTGACCGTCGTCGAGTAAACGACTCCTGGCAGGACGCCGTAAACGTTTAAATCGTCCTACCGTCTGCTCTGTGGTCATCTTGAAGCTACAGACCAATTCTATCTTTGTTGTTAAGAGCTCAGTGAAGAGTTTTAGTACTGATAAGAACTGCTAAATACTAGCAAACCTCTTGAGTCAA